AGAAATTGTGCAAACCACAAGCAACAATTATAATGTTAACATCCAGTTCAAGATCAAGATGATCCAGAAATAAAAGCTTTCTCCATTGCTTTTTGAGAAGGGATATTGCCCTCTCTATTTTCTGGCGACGTGAAGGACCGTGGTTGAACCTTAATTGATGCAGACAGTTAGATGGCCATTATATCTGTAGGGTGTTATGAGTCACCTGAAGGAGGATAATACCAAACATGTTAGCTCTATATAATGTCAAATCTAATATATAGATTTAGCCAAGCCTAAAAGCGGAGCTCCTGGGCCTGGTTTTTCAAAGCCCCATTAAGCTAGCCCAGGATAAGAGAGAATTTTGATTTGAGTTTTGTAACTTTACGCTGAGGTTTTCTGCTTATATTGTTTGGCCTTCCGTTTTGAGTTTGAATAGCCTCCACGTCCTCAAAATACACAAAACAAAAGCAGTGAAAACATTGCATACAGCTGGCACCCCTGAAATTTAAATCGGCCAATCAGGATAGGGCAATCGGAAAAAACTTTACTGTCCTGATGTCAATGTACTAAATTAACAGGAAAGGCATAGAAATCAGGGACCCTTTCTCACTGGATATGGCATTAAATATTCACATAAAGGGATTCACAATTCTAAAAACCATATCAGATGGTAAAAGTGAAAAAGTGAAAAATTTTAAACATTTTTTGTCTGCGAAGAAAACGGCTATAATATCATGTCGCTTCGGTAGGACAGCTCAGTTTTGACTGCCGCTCGTACTGGGCGAAGCGGCCGTATGCAAGGAAACATTTGCATGCAAAAACATTATACTTCAGTTAAATTTTATAATCCTGGGTTAGCTTTAACCGCCTTCCAAACAATCCGGCCCTGATTACAAGTTAACCTGACAAAAGCCCGCAATTCAATCGAAAACCTGCACTTTGTCAGCGATCAATTTAAAAAAATAAAACCCATGACCTTGATGAGCTCAAAACTCTAGCCCACGATATGGTNAAAACTGACTTGTTTACTTATAGATTTCATGTTCAATGTATATCCCGAATATTAGTGTTGCATAGGTACATTTTTTTGCTATAGGTTTTAGTCAGAATGGAAATACATTGATGTGGGGACATTTCTGTGGTCTTTCAGGATAAAATTGACAAATAAATGTGTGAGTTCAAACATTTACAGTTGTAAATTGAGTAATACCATGTTGCTGTTACATAAACTTGCTACATAAACTGGTTATGAGAAAATGATAAAAAGCTAAACTCCCATTTAGATGTTGTTGAGTTGCCATTCTTCCCTATTGAAAGGGCAAGTAAAATTTTTCTGGGGCAAGTATGTCATTGGGTATACTTGCGTGACTGACAACTTGTAGAGAAATCCAGTATGGATCCCTGCAAAATCACCCCTACTTATAACTTAGATGACTAAGGCAACCACATTGCCTGTTGGAAATAATTATTTACTTAAATACACAGTTCTTGTTATGGTTCATTGAAAAATACATTAAAAAAACACTATGCCTTTTCAAGACATAGAACTACCAGCCAACAGTGTTTGCAAAATTCCTTGCACAAGCTTATGTAATTCCAAAGGTTGCATGTATCTTCTGTTCAGCAGCTTAGTTTTGGTGGGACTCCATATCAAAAGAGGGAAGTTGTATATTTGAGAAGAATTTAAACATAAAAAAAGTTTAATTACAACTACCTCATAAATAAATATTGTTATATAGAACACTACTAATATCAGAGAATAAAGCAAGTGTTAAGAAAAGCAGTTCACAGCAACAAATTATTGTATAAGAAGTAGTGAAGAGAACTTTAATCTTACAGATCAATACAAACATTGGCATCATCATCACATGAGCCAAAATCATGCAAGCATGTGGTTGGCAGAAAGAGTTTTCAAGCAAGTGAAACCTTTTCTTGTGGTTGAATTTTCAACATGATTTTTGGTATGTGTCAGTGTTCAAATTTCATTCACACTTTTCTCACACTTCACTCACATTGAAGCATTCTGATATTATCCTAAGTAAAACATCAAAATCCGCAAAAATGTTTCACAAGACAGCTCTGAAATAACAGATTTTTAATCCTAACGCGCCGTAATATAAACAGTCCAGATATGGTCATTTGAAACTTTTAATTTTTACTTGATTGAAAAATAATTGATGTGACTGGAAAGAGCACCTCAAAATTAGTGTTTTGGCCAAGTTTCAGAAAGAAATCTTGATAGAGGTGAAGCAACAGTCAATTGAAGAACACTCAGTCTTCATATATTTCCTTGTCTTCGATTTTTGCTAACCAGGAATCTGTAGGACTATTAAGTTACAGTGCTTGTAATGTCACTGATATCTGCGCTGAATCTGCAGACATTTTCCACTACGCACAAGCACGCGTTGCGTGCCTATTTTCACTCGAGAAGGCGGGCAATGTAAGACTTTGCTCGGGAGCACGGTAATCGGAAACCGCTAGTTTTCATTCACCGACGAGACCGCAACGAGAGCTTTTGCTAATTGTACCAGCTGAAATACTTAAGAACACTGCATTTCTGTCGGTGCAAGTGGACTAAGTATTCCGAAATAACTCCGCTTCGTTACTCACTTATTCTAACGATTCACATGTGACATGTACTCACAAGTCTTGAAGGCGCTGCCATTCACTTGTAAACAAATGCCTCACTTCAAGGTGATACTTCCTCGTGCGATGTTTAGTAAGACAACAGCTTCAACACCATTCACGTCACTATTTTTTCGCACCACAGTGTGGTAAAAAAGCAACGTTATCACACACAACGTGCGAAGCCACTTGAGACGCGCGTTTATCCGTGACCCCAGGGAAAAGAAGCTTACCTGATCATGCGCAAGGGCGATGGCGGGAAAGAGGTCTGAGAACGATAGTGTTGAGCTAGTTCCCAGGTTATTCTCAAACACAATAATATGGCCGCTTCGGCCGCTCTAAAGAAGTTGAATTTTTCATCCGACTTCACTGAAGTTTTACATGTACATGCGAAAGACTCGACTGATCGCTTATTAAAGGGGCTCTTGGTTACGTACAAAAGTGGCAAGTACTGTGATGTTACTCTGAAAATCGGTGAAACGCAAAAGCTACGAGCTCATCGTGTTGTGTTGGCATCGTTTAGTCGATACTTTGAGGCCCTTCTTGGAGACAATTGGGAAGAAGGCAAGAAAGACGAAATAGAAGTACTTGGTTTAGACGAAGATGCCGTGAGTGATTTGATTGAATTTGCATATTCGGGACATGTCGACATCAGTAAAGACAATGTGCAAACTTTGCTCGAAGCAGCCGATTATTTGGGCGTAGAGTTTGTTAAAAAATCGTGCGAAGAATTCTTAAAGAATGCTATCGATGATAGAACATGCCTGGGCATATGGCAGTTGGCAGATTTTTTTTCTCTTAAAGAGCTTAACGAACTCGCTAAGCGATATGCTTTGCGACATTTTACAGGTGTGTGTGAAAAAGAGGAATTCCTATGTCTACCATACAAACTCCTGACTGATCTGATCGCAGATGAAGGACTCTGTGTTGTGATTGATGAATTGATTCCATTTGAAGAAGACAGGGAGAAAATCGTGTTGCAAGCAGTGTTTCGGTACATCGAGCATGAGCTAGACAGCCGAAAGGAACATCTCCCTGAACTGCTATCTCTTGTGAGAATTCCGACTTTATCAGAGTCGTTCCTAGAGGAAGTTGCTGCATACGAGCTTGTTCAAATCTGCTCTGGTGAAGAGATCTTTGACAGAGCTAGAAAACTAAAAGCAGGCGCTTCCAAGAGCTCCCAGTCAACTGACATGAAATGGGCTTCCCCAAGGAAATTTGCTGATTATAGTGCCATTTGGGGGCGTTGCTTTGCAATTGGTGGACAAGGACAACCCGAAACTTCGTATTTCACTGACAAAGATATAGTTGAGGATATGAATAATGATGTCTATGTCAAAGGAATGAAGCTGTGGATTCATCATTGGGTCAGAGGTCCTGTGGTAGGAGCACTTAAGGTCTACTACAGCAACAACACGGAGACAAAGTATGGTTACAGCACAAATGAAGCAGAAATTCATGAGTTCCACCTAGAGGAAAATGAGAAGATTGTCAAAATTGATGTTCAAGCTGGCTGGGTTGTTGATCAACTGACATTTTACACAAATAAAAAAGATGCCCATGGAAACAAAAGAAAGTTTGGCCCCTATGGAGGCAATGGTGGAGGATTTTACTGCGAGACTCCAGCTGGGTCGTATGGGTTCTTAGCAGGAGTAGCTGGTGCACATATTAATCATCAAGGACAGTGGAGTATAACACAACTTCAATTTGCATGGAGGACATTTGTTTTTCCTGAGGACCCATCACCCCCAAAAGGCAGATGCAGAGCTGACGATATGCTTGAAGATTACTACAGTGATGAAATGACTTTAGATGATGAATATCCTGACATATACGATGGTTTTTTGGTTGATTATTATCCTGATTAAGGTAATGAAATGTTGGAAATCACCATGCAAAAATGTAATTCTCCACTATAGCTGTGATCAGATTGTATAACCTGGTAGAAAAAACACATTGTGATATGCATGAAATAAGGTTTTGAATCTCACAGTTTAGTCTCTTTCACACATGTGGTTACACAATCATTTTTTCCTCTCACAACGTTTGATTCCCTGCCCAAAACGTTCCATCTGGTAACATACATGTAGCTCTAAGGTTATCCATAGTGAGTTGAAAAAAACAAAGAACCAATTAAAGATATTACACAGAGTTACATAATCAATACAGGACTTGTCAGGTTTTAAACCAGTTGTCTTTGAGTGGGGAAGGATTGACCACATGAAAAAAGTGAGGGTGGTGCATGAAGCCCTGAATAAAAACTGCAGAGGAAATGATATACAATGTAGTTTTAAAATAATATATACATGTATTCATGTACTGAGTACCGGTCAAATGTAAGTTGACATTCTCGACTCGAAACTCGATTCTCAATACTCGATGTGTTCAAGAATCGAGTTTCGAGGCTCGAGTTTGGAGTTTGGAGTATTGAGTTTCGAGTTTCAAGATGCTCAAAGAATTTTTCAAGAAAACGATTTATATCTCGAATTCATAACAATAGAAATAAACAATACCGCGCTTCGTGCGGCTTCCTTTATTCGTGCAAGAGTACATGTATTTCATATTAACGTCCAAATCGTTAGTCGGTATGTTTATAGGGTAAATTTTTAAAAAGGATGCTCAACACTTTTTATACTTTTAAACTGTTAACTTAAATTTCAGATACAGTGTATATTAGCAAAGTAAAAATGGTCTACATTTACAAGATTCAGGACTGACATCCTTTACATCCACTTTCAGTGTTACGTGCATAGGTGACATCTTTCGACCATCTCTTGACATTCCATCTTTCGACATGCTATGTAAATGGTTGAAATACCGTTTAGCTGTGAAACTAGCAATTTTTCTGGTTATTAGCAGAACAAATGACAGGTATATGATAATTACTGACCTCAAATGAATGAAGAAGATTGTGGACTCGCGATTTAGGGGATGATTCAAACGATTTTAGTGTAGTCGATTGGCTCTTAATAGTGACTTCCGGTAGAATTGGGCTGCTACTGTGCAGTTAATATTTGAAAGATGTAAACATTCAAAGCAGTGGATTTATCCCTCGCAGAATGTTTTCTTGATACTCCTAGCCTTAGTTTGATGTCAAATAAATCCATCTTTCATGACTAAAACTCAAGTTCGACCATAAAGAAGCCACTTGCGCTTACATTTTGACGTAGGCCAGGTTGCATAGCATGTCAAAAGATAGCATGTCAAGAGATAGTTGCTATGCTCATAATACTGAAAGAGGGTGTAAGTTTAGCTTTCACTAACTAATATATTGTGAACTGACAATGATCAAAATGGTTTGATCATTGTGTTTATGCTTGTCAGAGTTTGTGTGGGGTCTTGTCTCTTGCTCAGTAATGCTTACACTGCTAAAATAAAAACCATTGAGGTAGGATTACCAAGAAACAAAATATTTCGATGCGTCAGATGAAGATATTGTTAACTCAGTCTCTCTGGCCTCATTTAAATCTAAACTTGAAGGTTACATTTACATTCTTGATACCTATTATTAAAAACTGGATCATTGGATAATGCAATTAGAGAGTTTTCATTGGCTTAGCCATTATGGGTTATGAGCCATTACCCTGTATACCATGCAGTTTAGTTTTCTATTTTGGGGGGGACATATTTAACGAAACAATTATTCCACTCGTGCTTGTTGGATATGAGATGACAACAGCCAACTCGTATCCAATGCACACTCATGGAATAATATTAATTAGGCCACTGAACCCTTATCCTAGTTAATATGTAATGAGGGGTTCTAATATTATAGATGTCAGGATTTCTTGTTAGGCCACCTTGCCACGTCCTGTCACTCTTTTTCCTCCTGTATATATGTAATTTAAGGTGTTTTGATACAGTTTTTTTCCAGACCAACTGAAAACAAAACTTCCATGGCTTCAAAGCTTATCATCATGATGCATTTTGATATTAATTTAAGCAATGTCATCAGAACATCCTTCAACTGTTGGTTCATTTGCTATTAGGATGCAGAAAGTATATTAATTGAAATGTTTTTGCAATTTACTCGAGATGAAACATAAATAATTTTTCCATTCTGATATATTCTACTTTCCATACACCATAGTTTAAGGCATTGCTATTAGATTTTTCTTACCACATCAGGTTTGTGCAAAATTAATGTTTTACTGATTTTTTGTTTGTTGTTTCCATGGAAATATTGATTGCCTTAACAAAATCATCATGCCAAACTTCATTTCATTTTCAGTTATTTGTTTATTTATTTATTTATTTATTTATTTATTTATTTATT